TGGCACACTACAGATACTTGGATTTTGACAAAAATAGTGACTAAATGTTAAACACCATGGTTATCGTTCTCTAAAATGACTACATTAGGACCATTAGCACCTTGTATAAATACCATAAAATAATTAACCAAAAGCATTGTGGCTTAATGATTAAAAATGCGGCACAACAGGTGCGTCGCGGCAATTTCCAACAACATTCGCTTGGGCTCCGCAAAGTTCTTCAGTAATTTGCGGAATTAAAACATCATTTTCAAATACGGCAAGCTATCAAGGGAGATCCGCACCAGCAAGTGGTGAGAGCAAAATCATTTTTAATGAAATGTTTTTTGCACCAGCGCGGTAGGCCCTTGCTCCCAGAGCTCTTGCATAGGGTCATTTCGTTGAAATAAAATACTCTATTTGAAACGAGATGCGAAGACTGTTTTACTCGTACGTCCATATTTTAATGTGCTCCCATGGCAGATATGTTTGATATACGTATGAACCTTTAAATCTCACAAAAACCTTTAATTATTGCAATAAGTGTCATGATTAGAAGCAGTAATCTCAGCCAAACTGGATTTGTTTCTTTTCCTCAGTTTATCACACATATGTGATTAAAAAATGGTTAGCATTTAGCAGTCTGAACTTTCGAGCGACAAAATTGATGCATAAATACTATATATCAACGTAGAGGTGGCAGTTGAAAATTCCAAGATAGCATGACGCCGTTTTCTTCTCTTCAAATGATTTATCCGAATATGTAATAAAATATGGAAGATTCTATTTAAAAAAGTTGTTATAATCTGTCAATTTCTTAAACTTAATATCCAAATTTAATTGCTCATTCAAATAGACTCTTTCGAAATGAGCTATGATCGATTCATTGTACAAAACACTCAACTTTAACAGTCTGCCAGCCCGCCATATCGGCAGATACTGATTTTGTATTTCAGAATTGTAAAGTACTTATCAAGTGCCTCAAAAGGAGGTATCATAAAACCTCCATTTAAGTACAATTAGACCTAAACAAGCCAAGTTTTGCTATATTTTTCGAGTTTCTTTTCAAGTTGGGCATAATGACATCAGGTTTATGGGGCTCAACAAAACTTAATATTGGTTTTTCTACTTTCTGGTGACTTCAGAGCACAGTCAAAAGACTTCAAGATGCTACAATATTTTGAAATCAGTCATGATTCCTGTCGTTGCAGATATATAGGACATTCAAATGTAGAGATTTTCTTGCAAAATTGTATCTCTTAACAGTCGGTTACAAGAAGAATATCAGATACTAATGTGTGAAAAGTACAGGGTTAACCTACTTGATGCCATTCCCATTAGCTCTCATTAATTTTACTTGTATCTTTTGAGTGTACATAGAATGAAGTGTAGCAACGAAACACAGGAAAGTGATTAACGCATGTCCAAAAAGTTGTGGCACAAAATTCATTGGCTTTAATTTTAACAAACACATGACAGAGTTAGTCATAAGCTGAAGGATTTACAGTGGTTGAACATGAAACAGCGTTCAGAACTATTAACCCTATGTTTCTACAATAATATTTTGTCGAGTAAGTCACCGCCATATTTGTATGAAAAAGTCATGTTTAGAGAAAGTCTTCATTCTGTCAATGTTCGTTTGAAACAGAATATTTCTGCTCCATTCCATCGAACATGTTTTTTCGAACGTGGCTTCTCTTACAACATCTATAAATTATATAACTCCATCCCCCAGAAAATCAAAAATATAAAAGGTTGCAAATTCAAGGCAGCTCTGAGACGATTCCTTCTAGATAAGTATAATTAACTTCACTGGTAATACTGCAACATTTAGCTTTTCTGGATGAATCTCATGATTATATGATGGAATATTTTCAGTTTTATATTTTCAGTGTTATTTGTTTTTCTGTGGTCATGCTTTTTTTCTGCTCTCATATAGTTAGTAGTAGTCATGTAACGGTTGATATCACTATTTTAAAATAGAGCAAGAGATGAGTGGAAGAGCACGCAGGTCGAGAACTCCCCCTTGAGATTCGAGAGCAATTATTCCTTTTTGTTGAACACTATTTTTGTATGCATTGTCTCTTCGAATAAAGACATTTATTATTATTATTAAAATAATATCAAGCTGCCTTTGGGAAGAAAAGTATGTCTACTTACTTTAGTGTCAGTTGATATTCATTTATTTTGATGTTTTTGCTTTAAAATGTCGTATAAATTAGAAATAAGAAAAAGTATAGTCGACAAGTTGGATGGGCGAGTACCCAAAGCTGAAATCTGTCGAATACGACAGAATGAAAACATTTCACGCAGAGCCATCTATCGAACAATAGCGGAGCACGAGCAGGGAATACCATGTCTAAATTTACCAAAAAGTGGAAGACCACGTGCATTTAATGCACAGAGGTCAGAGAGATTGGTGAAAAGAGTAACAAGTTATGTTGGAATGTCAACAAGGAGACTGACTCGTCAATACAGATCTTCCAAGGGTACGATGTCGTTGAAATTGAGGAGGAATGGTCTTAAATATCGAAAGAGACTTGAGTGCCCCAAATACTCTCAAACACATCCTTCGTATACCAAGATGCTGTCGTCAACTGAGGAAGGTACACTTTGCCAGTGGAAAAATCATTATTTTAGATGACGAAACTTATTTCACTTTGAGCAAGTGTGAAATGAAGGGAAACGACGAATTTTATACGGACAACGTAGAGGAATGCGCTAACACAGTTAGATACAAAATAAAGCGAAATTTGTAGATAAAATCCTTGCCTGGTGCGCAATTCCTAACAGGGAAGAGTGAGGGGTGAAGCTTTCAATAGTCAAAGCTATATTGTTAACTGCCTTTCCAAATTGTTTCAGTTTGTTTACGAACATCATGCTAATGACCGTATCATGGCCAGACTAAGCATCATGCCATTATCAAGAGATACCCAAAACACAACTTATTTTTTGTTCCCAAGGACGATAATCCTCCAAACTTGCCTCAGTCTCGCTCAATGGAGGATTTTTGGGATTTACTGTCTAGAAAGGTTTATCATGGAGGCTGGGAAGCCCAAGATGAAGAGCAGTTAACACGGCGAATTTACGTAAAACTGAGAGAAACTGATCTCATGAGAGACGTTCGAAGAAAGTTGCGTCTGGAAGATCAGAATTTCTTCATTAAAAAAAATCCGATGAATATTTTGTGCCAAAACTTTTAGGACATTATTCGCGGAAACAGTGACGTCTAGGGTCTAAATAAACTATCAGAGTGTAAAAAATGTAGCACATTGTGATAGTTTGGTGAAAGTGGTGGTACTTGACATTAACACAGTCCAAATGATCAGAGATCAGAGTTAAGCCAAAATTTGTAGTCAGTAAGTAAGTAAGTATCATTAAATTAAATATTTAAAATACCCATGACAACAGCGCGTCGGTCTTTCATCACTCTTATCGAACCGGCGATCGATCGCAAACGGTAACAGAGGTTAGTTATCATTTTGCATAGGTGTTTTGTTTTTGTTCGCGTACGTCGTCGTGTTTATTTACAATGTTCTCGAATCAAGAGTTCGCCGACATGTGAAGCTCGTCAGAATTCAAATCTTGCAGCTCAAATTTATCGCGACAGATATCGCCAACGGGTACACCCAGACAGAACGACATTTTTGCAAGTATACCAAAGACTTCAAGATACAGGAAGTGTTCAGCCCACTGATATTCGCACTCGTGAAAGACAGGTTACTGTAGAACCGGAGGAACAAATTTTAAATATCGTGGAAATCTATAGTCTATAGAATCCTACGGGAAAATTTGCTTTATCCCTACCATGTACAATGAGTGCAGGCCTTGTTATCAGAAGACTAACATTCTGTCGGTGGTTTTTGCACAAAAAGATTGAAAATCCGGATTTTTTAAAAAAACATTCTAGCGACGGACGAATGTACTTTTACGTGAGACGGGTTATTAAATTTCCACAATACTCGCACGTGGGCCCGAGAAAATCGTCATACCAAGGTCATTTCCAACAATATATTAAAATAAATATTTGGGCGAGTTACCCCCAAAGTTGTCAGGAGAAGGCTACCTTACCTTTCTAGCAAATAACCTACCAGAACTTTTGGAACAGACCTTAGACATCATGCCATTACTACGGAGACAGAATTTTGTGGTTTCTTCATGACGGGGCACCACCAGACATTTTTAGAGGCGTCATTCAGTATTTGAATAAACATTATCCAAATCGCTGTATCGGTCGAAATGCTCCTGATCCTCGAAAATGGCCAGCAAGATCTCCTGACCTCAATCCGATAGATTTGTGGTATTGGGGAGAACTTAAAGGGATGGTCTATGGGGCTGGTCCAATAACAACTGAAGTACAACTTCGCGAAAAGACTTTAATGCCGCTGAAATAATAAATGGACAACTTCGAGGACCTAGAGTAAGAAGAAACGGGGTTTGTCGTAATAAAGCTTGTGTGGAAAGTGGAGGATGACATTTTGAAGACCTTCTTTAAATACAAAAAAGGATTTTAAAAAGAAAAACAATGAATGTATCAAAATTGTGATCCCTATTTATAAGTTGATTTTTTTAATGCGTTCAATAAACTTTCACCAGGTGAAGCGCTGAAACAGTTAGTGGTAAGTCCGTTTTTTTAATTGTTTGCATTTTACGAGTACATTATCAAATAATGAAATAATACCTACGAGGCAAAAATAACAATCTTTATTTACACTGTTGTCAGATTTTATTTTACTTTGAAGTCGCTTTTCTCTAAAAAAAATGCCGTTTTGACCCCCATGTTATACGAAACTTTTTGCCTCTTTTAACCCCCTTTATCACACATTTAAATAATGTGAGCAGTCAGCGCGTTGATCGCCTGTTTTTGGCAAAACTCTTTCTCCTACCACTGTCGGCTGATAGATTTCCTCACTGTTGTGTGGGTTTGAAAGATCCTCGCAATCAGTGTGCACCTTGAAGGTGTACGCCCATATTCATAGAGGGTATACAATTTGTGAAATGTCAATCAACAATATTCTACAATGAGGTCAGGAAGGGACGTGCGACGCACCTCTTTCCCTCTGCCTACGCTCATGCTAAGCGTGAGGTATAAAAGTCGACGCGCGAAAAATTTATGAAATGGATTTTTGAGAGTGCTCCTGACTAATCGCCGTGATTACGCGTTTTAGCCTAATTAAAAATACAAATAAGGGAACGAGATTCGCGATATCACCGCGAATTTGCGAGGGGTGGGATATGGGGGACGTGGTGGCCACTCTCATCCCCGTGATCATATTTAATTTGACGGACTGAATAATTTAGGGACGACTAAGTGAAACGCGGTTTTTGGTAACTGTGTTTCAGCATACGTGGTTATTCGATGCGATATTTCTCCGTATTGCGTATTAAATAAATTTCATTTGTGCCCTACAAAATCGAAAAGATAATGTGAATCAGAATATAGAAATAATTTACATAAGTCTTGTAATATACCGAGTTAACAGTACAAAATAGCACATTATTCCCTGAGGCGCAAGGCGGCGCATTATGGTATTTTTCACCAAGGAATATACAAGGTGTTTGAAATTCGACCCTCACCATTGGAATCTCGAAAACTGTGAGAGAAAGGAAGTCACGTCAATGGGGGCAAAGCTGCGTATTTAGCTAATCAACAAAATGCCGCTTAGAAAGTTTAGAAAATTCAGTGGTTTCGGAGAGGGGCGGAAAAACAGAATTTTCTAAAAAAAATTGCCTGACTTTATTTGTAGTAGTAATTAGGATTTCAATATGACGTTTCATCTCTTGTCCTTAAGCATTATTTTATAACTAACTTTATTTCTTCTTGTGGATACCATATTGGATTTTTCAGCAGATAAATAGAGTTTTTATTCTGATTTCAAAAATGTATGTCATGTCATTTACATTGCCAACTCTTAGTTCTTCCAGAAAATCAGAAGTTCCTAGGTAGGCCTTGAAATTACTAGATTTCGTTTATTTCGTATACCAGACCCGATCCCAAATTCAACATAGCAACATAGTCTGGAAGACTGAGAAGAAGAGTAGTAAACAGAGCAGTGAACAAAGTACAGAGAAGAGACAGAAATTTTCGTTTTGTGTTTCACCACACACTTTTATTTCCTTATAATTTTCATCGAACAACAAATTCATGGCCAACTAAGGAAGATCATCACTGAATTTAGGACTGAAAAGTCCATTTAAATGTGCAAAATTCCAATATATCGTCCATATGAAAAAACAATGTTGGTGATGGGAGTCGAAGGCAGAAAGGTCCAATAGAAAATTTGACTACGCCATCTTGTAGGGGAGAATAAGTAACATTGACAACATGGAATTTATCTTCAAATCCCATCTCAAATAAAGTTAGGAAGAAATAAAAGTGATTTTGGAATAAATTTGGTGGGTGAAACATATAATCTCAAGCCATACCTAGAAAGTTTTGCGTTTTCTTAAAATACTAGTGCTTGGCAACACTAATGTATGACGTAACATTTATTTTTAAATCAGAATTAGAAACTCTGTTCATTTGTGTAAAAATCCAATATGGCGTCTATAAGAAAAGATGAAGTTGATGCTGGAGGACAAGAGGTGAAACGTCATATTGAAATTATAATTATGCCGTCTTGTAAAGGAGAAAAAGAGACAGCGTTAATGTGGAAATTATTTTGAAATATCACTACAAATAAAGTCAGGAAAAAATTAAAATGATTTTGGAAAATTCTGTTTTCTCCGTCTCTGTCCGGAAGTACTTTGATTGGCCATTTTGTTGATTACCTAAATACGCAACTTTTCCCCCAATAAAGCGTAGGGCAGATATGAGACTCCTCCCTATATCAATGAGTTGAAAAATGGCGATTTCTTAGGCTAAAAGCCACTGATCAACAGCCAAAAAATATCCTAAATAAAATCAACAAAATATTACTATTTTTAATGTGCTAAAACCGGAATGAAACTTATTTTTTCAATATTAGTTCAAGTTTTAGAGATACGGTAATTATATGTGTTCCTGCTGTGACAGTGTTAATATACTGTAATTCACAAGAATGCACGTGCTACATTTTTATATTCGGCAGGGAAAGATGATGTAATCGGCATGATTGTGTTACGTTATACATACGTGTACATTATATTGTTTTATATTAGCCATTTTTTCCTCAGTTGGCTGATAGCGTTCATGCAAGATGTCTCGAAAGTGTGTAAACAATCCAGATCAGTTTTGTTACGTGTGTGGTGATGTGACTTTTGCGTCTCAGAGACGGTCTATTACTCCACTAATAACAAAGGCATATCAGCTTTATTTCGGTTGTAAACTAGGTGATCAAGACAAACAGTGGGCACCCCACATCTGCTGTAATACATGTGCTTCAAGTCTGAGGAACTGGTTAAATGGCAAAAAACGGTCTATGCGCTTTGCTGTCCCAATGGTTTGGAGAGAGCCTACAAATCATATTAATGATTGTTACTTTTGCAAGGTACCTTGTATTGGACAAGCCACAGGTATGTCCAAGAAAAAAAAATCGGTTATTAACTACGCAAACATACCATCTGCGATGAGACCTGTGCCTCACAGTGACGAAAATCCTATTCCAAAACCCCCAGAATCCTACACTTGCGAATCAGAAAACGAATCAGATCATGGCGATCGAGTGATTCGTCAGGAAGAAGATATGCCATCAACGTCAAGAGATCCTGATTTTATACCGAGCACGTCCTGCCACCAACCGCACAAAATAACACAGTCAGAATTAAATGATCTTGTAAGAGATTTAGAACTTCCAAAATGTAAGGCAGAGTTACTTGGATCAAGACTGCAGCAGTGGAACTTGTTAGAAGACGATGTTTCGGTATGTGTTTTTCGTAAACGCCACAAAGACTTAGAACTATTTTTCAATATGGAGAATAACTTGGTTTTCTGCAGTAACATTAATGGCTTACTGGCGGCTTTAAATATAAACTATAAACCAGAAGAATGGAGATTGTTTATAGACAGTTCAACATTGAGTTTAAAGGCAGTGTTATTGCATATTGGAAATATTTTACCATCTCTTCCTGTAGGGTATGCAGTTCACATGAAAAAATCATATGACAATATGAAGTACCTATTGACATGCATAAAATACGATGAGCACCAATGGCATATTTGTGGCGATTTGAAAGTTGTTGCACTTTTACTTGGGCTGCAGCTAGGCTACACAAAGTTTTGCTGTTTTTTTGTGTGAATGGGACAGTCGGGCAAAGGCACTTCATTACACCAGACAAAACTGGCCTGTTCGTCAATTCCTAGAGCCAGGTCAAAAAAATGTACAGCATATGCCATTAGAAGATTCGAAAAAAATTTTATTACACCACCACTGCATATCAAGTTGGGCCTAATGAAAAACTTTGTCAAGGCATTAGATAGAGATGGGTCAGCTTTTCAATACCTGCGTCAGAAATTTCCAAGACTAAGTGAGGCAAAGGTTAAAGAAGGTATTTTTGTTGGGCCACAGATTCGAAATATTTTGAAAGATACACAGTTTGAAAACACTTTAACAGGTATTGAAAAAACTGCTTGGAATGATTTCCGTCTGGTGGTCGCTAATTTCTTGGGAAATAGAAAAGCTGACAACTATAAAACCCTTGTCAAAAATATGCTGTCATCGTATTAAAAGATGGGCTGTAGTATGTCTCTTAAGATACATTTCCTACACTCACACCTGGACTTTTTCCTGACAATTGCGGAGCCGTAAGTGATGAGCACGGCGAATGTTTTCATCAGGATATTTCAACAATGGAAAAAAGGTACCAGGGAAAGTGGAATCCTTCCATGCTTGCACACTACTGTTGGTCTCTTGGTAGAGATGCTCCAGAAACGATCCATAAAAGAACAGCAAAAAGACAGCGCATATAGTGATTCTTATAAGTATATGAATCTTGTTACTTTTTTTAATATATCCTTAAAAATAAAAAGTTTTTTTTCTAAACCGCAACTAATTTTTTTATTTCATTGTCATTTTTGGATTCAGCGCCCCAAAATTAACAAAGAAGTGCACTTTTCCCACAAGATAGAATTAAAAAACTAAAATTTGTTGTCCAGTGAAGTTGCACCCAGTGACATATACCAGGATACCAACGCTGCCAAAAACATCCAAAGTGGATGCTCGATTTGTGTCCACCCTAGATGGCTTTACATTTGCCATTTCCCGTTTGTATAATGCTAAAGACCCCTTTTTGGACTGATCAGGTAAACTGCATAATGCACCGCATCCCAAGATGTTTGTATCAACATAGTCATATATTCGTCTTAAGCCATCGCACAGAATGCTACGAGTATCGCTGCCATCGTGTAAATTTACTCACTGTGAAGGAAAGAAACATAATATTTCTAAGCTACCAATAACAGTCTTAAAGGTCGTTATTGAAATAGTATAATTAATCCACTATACAGGAACATTATGGGGCCTCGGTTGGCCGCGTTGGTTAGAGTGTCGTGCTACTGATCAGCCGGCCGGCCGGGCCGCGAGTTCGAATCTCGCCTTCCCCATGGATGTTGTGAAGTCGTGTGTTTGTCCATAATTAGAGAAATATAAGTAACACACATCTGTGGCAAATGGATAACTTCCAATGCCAATTATATGTTAAAAATAAAAAAATAAAAAGGAACATTATGTTTAAGCTTATAGAACAGTTGATTAAGCTTATTAGAACAGTTTTGATGCTCACTGAAAACTTATACATATAGGTAGTAGCTGTTAAGCCAACTACTACGACCGTTACCTAAAAGACAACAAACATACGCATTTGAACATTAGGAGGCCATCAACAACTTGAGCGCTTCGGATTAGCTTGAGGTATTTGTATTGTTATTTGTATCAAGGATGACAGGTGCAAATTTAACTCGCATATAGAATTTTTCGCATGAAGTCTCAGATCGACCTACTAAACGACAAACGTTCCTTGTTGATAATCCCGATGCCGGCATTGCATTCCTCTCACGTATCGCATTTTCCCATTAGCAGGCATTAAACCAGGCGCAATTATATTCCAGGTAATTGCTAAATAAACTTCCGCTTAACGACTCAGAAATTCCTTTATTTTTTACTAGCTCGG